TGAGCAGATTTTCCAAAGCTCTTACCAGAAGTGACTGTCAAAGATGTCCTCTGATCTTTCTTACTCTGCCCATCTCTTTTCACATGACTTTCCAAATTTGGCAATTATCAGCAGATTTATGAAGTTGTAGGAAGACACTAGTGACCCATCTCTTCTTCCTTCCCTCTGTAATTCTCAAACACAAGTAATACCAGCTTGTCTCAAAGATGTTATCTGTCCAAATTGTTTTGATTCTTTGCCGTCAGTGTTTTTGTTACACATATTTTACATGATGTCATAACATAACATTTTCAGAAAAAAAAAAAAAAAACAGCTTAGAGAATCCACAAAGTTCACTGAGCATAAACATGGTTTACTACCATCATACTTGGTCAGTTCCTTTAAGAGGCTACCTGGAATATTTAGTGACTTCTCTAAAGTTTTTTTGAAGCATTTTGTTTTAAAATCACAGTGTTTGGCTTCATGATCCTTTGGGCTTCATTTTCGAAGGATGGCAGTGGTATATTGGGAGAACATATTTTGAGAACAGTCATTTTCATGACTCAGAATTCTTCTTATGTAGTGTTACAAAGATTGGTGATAATTTTGTTATGATTTTTAATAATTCTAACAATTTATTCATTCCTTTACTGAAAGAATCTGCCATCTCCATTCCTTCCTCACCATGTTTCGAATGTGCTCCTTCACCCTTAGGAACAATACTTCTCTGTTAAAGTCACAGTGTGTGACAGTGAGGTTTCCAGAGTTCTTGTTGGGCATTTTGTAGAATGGCCTTCATTTTGCATTTGCCTCACATTTTCTTATGATTACACTGAGGTTGAGTATTTTACAAAGAACTCCACAAGGTGAAGCATTTTTTTCATTGTATCATGGCAGAGGACAGATGATATTAATGTGATTTATCTCTGGTGATTTTAACTTTGATCACTTGGTTAAGATTATATCTATCAGGCTTTGTTCTTATATTTTTCCCATATTAAATAACAATCGCAATGCTTATCTATGCTAGACAGTGCCTCCTGAGTATATCCTGCTTGATGATTTACATCTCGTTCTCATGAGTACCTATCTGTGTCTGTCAATCCTCTTCATGATCTTGAATGTGCCTGCCTCCTCCTCAAAGCTACATATATGTTACTTCAACATTCCTTAAAGGGTAATGAAAAAGTGGTTCTTTTGCAAAGTTTGTGTGAATTGGCATCAATATTTGACACACATGCCTGCTCAGCGGCCTCAAGCTAGACAATGTGTATGTGGGAAGGAGCATGGTACATAGTTGGAAACACTTTATGTTGGCAAGTTATATTGATGCTACTGAATCTAAACAAACATTGGGGCCTGGACCAACAAACCAAGAACCATCCCATGCAACTCCCAGTACAGATAGCTGCTGCATATCAATCACTTGAGCATTTATAGAACCCCTAATTAGAAAGCTCTATGAGATTTTTTATAGCTAGTACTTGGCCAGGCGGTGGTGATGCTTGATGTTACAATCTATCTTGTAGCCAAGTGAAAAGTCCCAAATCAAGGGAGTCTCCCACTTTGGGCAAGCCTTCTCAGAGACTAATGCATATAGATATAGAAATCAATAAATTTCAGGCCTAATGTTTAGATTACTTACTTAGCAATGCCTTAGAAGTTATCTTGTCTATCCTTCCACCCAGTGAAAAAAATTACTACTCTTAGCATTTTTTCTCCACATAAAGAAGTTGATTTATGATTTGATTTTTACATGTTGTCTACAAATTAACATGTTCATGAGGCCAGGCATGGTGGCTCACGCCTGTAATACAAGTATTTTGGGAGGCCAAAGCAGGCTGATCACTTGAGGCCAGGAGTTTGAGACCAGACTGGTCAATGTGATGAAACCCTGTCTCTGCCAAAAAATGCAAAATTTAGCGAGGCATGGTGGCATCTGCCTGTAGTCCCAGCTACTTGGGAGGCTGAGACGGGATAATTGCTTGTACCTGGGAGGCAGAGGCTGCAGTGAGCTGAGATCACACCACTGCACTCCAGCCTGGGCAACAAAGTGAGACTCTATCTCAAAAAAAAAAATTATATATATATATGATCATGTGAACAGGTACAAAACAATTATATTTGCAGATAACAATTATCCTTCCATTTGACTTATCATTTAGAAAATTTTATCCTTGTGGTATTAGCATAAATGATAGTTTTTCTAATAAGAAATTAATTTTTGAGGTTTTATTATAAGAGGAATTATTACCTTTTCTTTCTAGAATTGGAGGTTCCAGCTGCTATTACAGAAGCATGGTTGCAGTGGGTTTCCAATGACTTATGTTTCGACACAGAAATAATACTGTTGTAATTCGTTCAGAGTTTCTCTTCTTGCAGAAGGTGCTGTCACTGCCCTATGGTGCTGCTGTGAAACAGGAGATTAGATTCTGACCTTATTCACTGCAGCAGTGATATCTCTTCTGATCAGATGGTAGCTTTTCAGAGTATACAGGGAAAAGCAAAGTCTCAGCTCCCAGGGTTAGCCTCAGCTATGTTTGTCCCAAGTCACTGTTGCTGTGGCCTCCCAATGTTATAGCTTTTTATTTCATATTTAAAGTCTTGGTCATTAATCCCAAGGCAGGTACACAATGCTATAGTGGCTGAGTCAGACATATAGAATGCCCAGAGCCAACCCTGCCCCAGAAGAGGCTGTCACCAGTTAAAACTCAAACATGAAGGCTATTTCAGTGTTGAAAGATATTCTAACAATGTCGAACATCAAAATAAAAAGTACTTGGGGTCTTAAGCTCTGTGCAAATTTGAACTGACCTTTCTCCAAAAGATTCTGTGTCTCACATTCTACAGGATGTGATGTTGGGATGACTTTTATCGAAATCTAAACTTTTTGTTACACCATGATATTAATTTAGACTTTCTATCCTATTTTCTAAATTACTTTTCCTTAGAGATTTTCCTTATTTTGCTGTATAAAATGAAATCTCTACATTCCTCAGTCTACAGATTAAGCCACTTTCTCCCATTTTCTTCATCATCCTTAGACATTATATTTACCATGTTCAATTTAAAACACCATAAACAAAACCACCTCAGTATATAATGGACTAAGGTGTAAAAATATACTACAGATAAATTCTCAAGGACCATCTCAGAAATTTATCTAAGGAAATGGAAAAGGAGATTGTAGGGGTAGGGGTATTGGGTTGTCATATGTTTAAAGGTACAGAACAAGGAAGGTGGAAGGCAGCTAATAGTCTCTATATGGCTTTCCAATAGGGTCATAGAACAACGGCAGCTCTGCTGGAATGGTTCAGAGGAAGTCCTTTGCCTGGCCTAAAGTTTAGTGTCAGCAGCACATGAAAACAAGCTTCAGGAGAGAAACCAATGACAGAGATGCTTCCAGTAGGGACCTTGAGGAGGATGGAAGTGAAGACAATAGGGAAGCTATGAGACTTGAAATATGATGCATCATTCCACAGTTTTGAATGTGGTCCTGTGGAAGAATAATAGACTGTGCTTGGTTACATTAATTTGACAGTCACAGATTATTTAAGAGTTCTGACAGCCTGCATGCTTAATGTTTGATAAACACACCCTGAGATCTTTGGGCTAATTGACCTTCTTCATCCCAGTTTGTGGTAAAAGTTTGTCCTGTATTTTAGATATTCTTAATAACTGGGAAAGAGTGATTATGTCAAGAGATATTATTCAATGCAACTAATGATCAAGGAATTTAAGAAGAGTGTGCAGATAGAGGTTCTTGACATTAACTTGTAGCGGTAGCTTTAAGAAATTGTTGGCTGGGCATGGGTGGCTCACGCCTGTAATCCCAGCACTTTGGAAGGCTGAGGCAGGCAGATTACCTGAGGTCGCGAGTTTAGGACCAGCTGGACCAACATGGAGAAACCCCATCTCTATTGGAAAAAAAAAAAAAAAAAAAGGAATTGTTAAAGTAACTTCTTTCACAAATAGGAAAGTAAAGGACAGCAGCCAGAGGTCTAAATGTCATTTGTTCATTTGAGAACAATATACAAAACGTACCAGAAATCAGTTTCTTTGCATTAAGAAGTATATGTGATAACACGAAAGTATCTTAGATTTGTATATTAAAAGCAACGACACTTAGTGCCAGAAAGGACTGTGTATAAGGCAGTATCTTATCAATTACAATAAACAGAATGAAAAAAAAAATGTAAGCATAATTCCAGATGGCATCAAAATCTACTAGACTGTCTATAAATGCAAACGTGTCCATTAATTGCTAATATGTCTCACTTAGCTGAACAAACCGGTATGTTTGGAATCTAAGTCATTCAGCTCTGCACTACTTCAGTGAAACTAAAGCGGCTGCAGTGGAAGCACACCCTTAGGTCTCCCGGGACAACCAAAAACACATGCACTTGCCCATCGTCTTGATGTACTCCTAAAGAAACATAACCCGTTTTTAAAACAGCTCTTAGGTCTACTGAAAATCTATGACATATATATTCAGATATGCATAAGGCTACATTTTCCAGCCCAGCACCTTTTCCCAACATAAATTCCTAAAGATTTTAACTGCATACCTTTTTCAGCATAGAAGAGTTATGTTTTTTTATTTTTTTTTATTTTTTTATTTTTTCTTTTCAGACGGAGTTTCACTCATGTTACCCAGGCTGGAGTGCAATGGCGCGATCTTGGCTCACCGCAACCTCTGCCTCCTGGGTTCAGGCAATTCTCCTGCCTCAGCCTCCTGAGTAGCTGGGATTACAGGCACGTGCCACCATGCCCAGCTGATTTTTTGTATTTTTTTAGTAGAGACGGGGTTTCACCATGTTGACCAGGATGGTCTCGATCTCTTGACCTCGTGCCTCGTGATCCACCTGCCTCGGCCTCCCAAAGTGCTGGGATTACAGGCTTGAGCCACCGCGCCCGGCTGAGTTATGTTCTTAATTACTTTTCAGGAGGGAGTAGGGAGTGAGACGATGGAAGGTGAAAGAAGGCATATTAGAATTACCAAGGGAGGAGTGTCAAACTACCTCACATCCCCCACTTCCTGACTTTGGGAGTCTGATGTGTGCCTCTGGAGTCTTAGGACCGAGTGGGGTGTGGAGAGGGAGATGCGGCTTGTTGGAGCCTCTGTGGTCCAGTTCTGCTCCCACACCTTCTCTCGTTTAGGATTCCTGAAGTGAAGGAAAACACACTTCTTCTCTGTAAGATTTTTTTAAAGGTGGCCTCTCCTGAGGGAACAAATAAAAGACAGTAATCAGCAGAACAGTCTCAGTGTTCCTGAGATTGAACCAAATGTCCCTGAGCATTCTCCCTCACACATTTGTTCTCTCAGAAAACAATAGACTGTTCCAACTTCTCACTTGACTGTCATATTCCAGGTAATAGAATGTCTCAGACTGCTCAAGGGTACTACAGGGATTCTGACAAATGCCTCTTACTGAGGGTTTCATCAGTATTAATGCAAATAAAAAATGTAATATTATTATCTAAATATAATGCTCTAAATCTCACCCTGGGGTTTCTCTTCTTCAGATAATTTTACCTATTCATTGAAATAAATTCATTCATGTCTATGGTACACTTTATAGTATCAACCTTTGTCAGAAATATTTAATAAATTGTATTTTATTCAATGTGTAATTTGCCTCCCAGGCTTCAGTATTGATTCAACCTCCAAAATATTTTGAATTATGCCTTTCCTTAAGAAACAACAGAGGAAGCAACTTAAGTTTCCATCAACACACAAGAAAATGTGGTACATACACACAGTGGAGTACTACTCAGCTGTAATAACAGAATGAGGTCCTGTCACCTGCAACAACATGGATGGAACTGGAGGTCAATATGTTAAGTGAAATAAGCCAAGCACTAAAAGACAAAGTTCATATGTTCTCATTCAGTTGTGGGAACTAAAAATTAAAACAATTGAGCTTACTGAGGTAGAGAGTAGAATGATGCCTACCAGAGGCTGAGAAGGGTAGTTGGGGATAGGGCGGTAGCTGGGGATAAAGAGTGGATGGTTAATAGGACAAAAATATAGTTAGAGAGAATGAATAAGATCTTCTATTTAAAGGTTGAGCATGGTGGCTCACACTTGTGATCCCCGCGCTTTGAAGCTCAAGGAGGAAGGATCGATTGAGGTCAGGAGTTTGATACCAGTCTAGGCAACATAGCAAGACCCATCTCTACAAAAGAAAATTTAAAAATTAGCCAGGAGTGGTGACCGTGCCTGTAGTCCCAGCTACTCAGGAAGCTGGGGTGGGATGATTTTTTGAGCTCAGGAGTTAGGGGCTGCAATAATCTATATTCATGCCACTGCACTCTAGCCTGAGCAACAGAGCAGGACCCTGTCTTGGAAAAAATTAAAAATCAATCAATCAATCAATAAACCTAGTATTTTATAGCACAATAGGGTGATTACAGTTGACAGTCATTTATTGTACATTTTAAAACGCTAAAAGAATATAACTAAATTGTTCATAACACAAAAAAGGACAAATGCTTGAGATAATGTATACCCTATTAACCCTGATGTGATAATTACACATTACATACCACTATCAAAATATCTCATGTACTCCATAAATATTTACACCTTCCATATATCCATAAAAATAACTTTTTATAAAAAACCACAGAGCCCAGGCTGTTGTCTGGAGTGAATCAGAGACACAGGATCTAGGGAAAGACCTAACTATAGGTGCATACATACATACACATAAATATTAATCTTTTTGATACATGTTTTATATATATAAATATATTAAATAATATATTAATCTTTTAGGTATATAGGATGTATATATTAAATAATACATGTATTATTTAATATATACATCCTATATACCTAAAAGATTAATATATTACTTAATATAGACATCATATATATCTAAAAAGATTAATATATTTATATATATTATTTAATATATACATCATATATACCTAAAAAGATTAATGTTTACATGTATGTATGTATTCACTTATAGTTAGGTCTTTCCCTAGATCCTAGGTCTGTGATTCACTCCAGGCAACAGCCTGGGCTCTGTTGTTTCTTTATAAAACGTTATTATTTTTATTTTAGATATATGTTTTATATGTAAATATATTAAATATATATTTAACATTTAATAAATAGTTATTAAATATATATCTATAACATATATATTAGATATTATTTTAGATATATATTTTATATATAAATATATTATTTAATATACATAAAATATATATATTTATAACATATATATCTAAAAAGATTTCTTATGTAACATGTAGAGGCATCAACTTACATAAAACAAAATTAGAACAGAAACGTTTAAAGATACAACAGTAGAGGGCCGTATGCCACTCTGTAATGATATTTTGCCATATAGGAAGGAAGCAAAGAACACTCTTCAATAAATAATGCAGGCATGCATGCCACCCCCCTCCAACACACACTCATGCAAGATCCCTACCTTTAACCATACACAAATGTAAATTCTAGGTAGATTTTAGAACTAAACATAAAAACATCAAAGTTTACAGATTTTAGAAGAAAATACTTTAAAATTCCATTATAAATTCAAGGTAGAAAATATTTTTTAAATAAGACCCAAAAATCTATACCTGTAAAATTTTCTTTTGCATTCAACTACTTAAAACACTAAAAGTCAATATTAAAATAATAAAATGGTAACATTCAGAGAATAATTTACAATTCATAAAATGGACAAAGACAGTACAGAATATATAAAGCACATCTATAAAATCAATATGAAAAAAGACAACACAAAGAATACAAAGTTTCACTTATGCAGCATGAATAAATTCTGAAGATCTAATGTACAGCATGGTAACTATAGATAACAGTACTACATTGCATACTTGAAATTTGCTAAGAAGGTAATGTGTTTTCATCACAAAAAAGGGATAACTCTGAAATGATAGGTATGTTTATCAGCTTGATTGTGATGATCATTTCATAACATATACTTACATCAAAACATTAAGTTGTATACCTTAAATATATAGAAATATTTTTATCAATTATACATAAATAAAGCTTTTTAAAAAGACAACAAAATGGAAAAATGAGAAAATGACCAGATCATTCAAAGAAACAAAAATCTCAACTGACAACAAATGTATGAAAACATGTTCAACTTTGCTAATATTTACGGAAATAAATATTAAAACTACATATCATTTAAAACTCATAAGTAACATATCATTTAAAACCCATAAGTTAAGGGAAAAATTAAAAAGACTGATAATATCAAGTGCCTGTGAAAACATAGAGAACTGGGAACTTCGAAGTTGATACAAGCACTTTGGAAAAGTTTGGAAGTGTGTGAAAGATGTACTCACCACACATAGGGGAGTCAGAGAACACCTCTAACCACATTTAAGCTCCTATGAGGGCCTTTCAGCTGAATTTATAAACCAAATTGACACCAGGTGGATTAACAAAAGAAAAGCATACACATTGTATTAGTTTTGTGTATACATGGAGACTTCACAAAAGAGTAAAGTCCAAAGAAGCGGCCAAAAACAGATGCTTCTATGCTTTTTAGACAAATAATGATAAATTTGAGAAGAAACGACAAGACAAAATCTGGCTATGGGACAGTAAGTAAGAGTTCCAGTCTCTGGTGAGCACAACTATTTTCTTTTCTTTCTTTTTTTTTTTTTTTTTT